TCAGTCTATGAGATCTAACTCCGGCAATTTGATGTAGTCAAGTTTGCGCCGTAACACTTGTTGACCATGAACGAATATCTGGCTTATAAAGCCAGCAAGAACCCTAATTAATACTGATTCAGGGACCAAGGACATGTATTCCAAAAGGCGCTCTCTGAATACCACACGACCTCGTTCACTTCCGTCTTTCAAGGTTATGTCAACAACATCCTGAAGGCCTCTTGGAGATATGTAATCAGGAGGAATTGCTTTGAGCAGATTTGAGTAACACTTTGCAGTAAAGCCCTTTCCGTCTACGTATTTTTCAGAGTACTCCATTATGTATTGGCAGGCAGCTTCATGATTTGTTATTTGCTTGATGGGGTTGGCAAGGGCACCTTTATGTTCTCGTTCAAATTTTTTCCTTTTTTGCCCGGTTCTGATGAAGAATTTACGAGCCAAAATTTTCAGATCTCCAGGAAGGACAGCAATCAGTTGGTCGAAAAGCTTTTTTACCATAGACCATTGTTGAACGAGCTTTTCATAGATATCTTCATCAAGGTCTAACCTATCCATGTCAGTGATCTGGTCGGTGAAGTTGCTTTCTTCATAAAATGCTTCCGTAGGAACATCATCAATGTTGACAAACAGCTTATTCCAGAACGCGGTGAGATCTTTTCCGCCAAGAGTTTCAGATACCATGAATTCCAGCACATCTACCATTTCTAGCACTCTGATTTGCCTATTCGTTTCTCCAACTTCTTCTCGAGTGTGTGTCATCTTTAAATCCTTCACGAGACTCATCATATTTTCCACGATGAACTGTCGCAACTTGTTCTTGTGGTCAGTCGTGGACAGTAGATTGTATCCTGACAAGAAGAAATTCTGGATATCTCTATGCATAATCCCCCGCAAAACAACATCTAAGGTGTCTTCTACCTTTCCCAGCCAATAATCCTCGGACTCCGCACCCGCTGCAAAAAACTGAGATAGCAAGACGCTCTTAAAAATGTACGATGGGAGTAAGGATGCGTCCAAATTGAGGTCTTTTGCGGCGCTGTCCCTGAGGTACTTTAATATTCGGTAACATGCTTTAAACTCGGCTGAAGAATCGGACAGGATTTCTTTCTCGACACTGGAGAATGATATACGCCACACATCAAACCCCGCGGGAACGACGTGAAAACCAGCCTTGTTGAGATACCCACTAGCTACAGTGTGTGGAAGCTGGTCTGACAACCCTACTGGAAGATTTGAAATGACGTATTCCAGCGCTAGCGTCAAATCAACTTTTATAAGTAAGTCACTGTAACTGCTACCACCGTGCCATACAACTTTTATTGTCGTAGCTGGGCCGTGCGATTCAATGTCGATAATCTCAGACGGGCGGCCCTCTCCTCCAACTAGGCCATTGAACACAGGTCCCCACGGTCCATCTATGTAACCCTGGTCTACTTTTTGTATGGCCATTCCTTCGGGGACGTCTATGGTTCTCCAAGATTCGTTGACTAGCCTTTTGAAATGGCTGCATAGCTTATTGGGGCTGAAGAAGCCTTGTTCATCTGTAAATTCTTTCCATTTCTCATCATCCAGTGCGAGTCTCACGTATCCTGGGATATTTTCGCAGCGAGAGAGGCGAGGTTTGTTAGTGAGACAGTCGATTCTGAACATGAAGTCAAACTCGTCAGGCTGATGGATTTTTACTCCTTCGTAAACACTTCCGCTCTTGATCAAATCCCCCTGAAATCTTTCATCGAGCTTTGCAACTTCTACCTGGATGCTAGATACTAGCATTTCGAGTTTCTGTCGAATAATATCGGCTTCGCTCTCATCTTCAAACCTTCCTTTTTCTTCGAAAGTTTTGACAATGTGATGCATCGTGGTGTCTTAGTTGTTTACTATACAACTGTGACATCGAAAGCGAAACGAACAAATTTGTCCTTTTTCCTCTTTCAATAGCGCTGCGCGCGTCGCTGCGCGCAGTCACTATTTTTAGACCTGAAAGTCAGACAAACAAACCGAAATTCCTCACTTTTGTCTGTCTTTTGTCGTTAAAATGTCATGTTTGTCTGTCTTTTGTCATTAAAATGAGAAAAATGACAAAACTCAGACAAAAATTGCAAGTTAGTCACTTTGACGTCATTCGCGCCCTACGCTCTTCGGATAAAGTCACCAGGTCATCAGCAAATTTCAGTTCTGGGAAAGGTAAACATTCTTTTATTCTTGGCCCCTTAAATGATGGCTCACCCTTTATTTTGTCTCGTGGAATTTCAACTCATGGTCCCGAGAGTGACCCCAATCAACAGACCATAACATTTGAATTCTTGCCGCAATAAAGGAAGTTAACTGCAGTAGAAATGTCACAAACATTTGTTGGGCGTAGCATGTGAGTAAAAACAAAACATAAATAATGAATGTGCATATGATCTAAAATTCGGAGACAAGGTCTTAATTGAAAAAGCTCAAATTACAATGCAAAAATCCCCATTTTAACCATGTATCGCAGGCACATGACTGAATACACAGAAATTATCTCTTGTGTTGCCCACTGGGGTCGCGATTTTAAACTCCCGATCAAGAAGCTGTTTTCAAAACGTTTCCTAGAAATAGGTTCAGTCAGCAATAATAATAATAATAATTAAAAATTTATAACGCGGCTTTTCCATGCAAATATGATCAAAAGCGCGTGACAACACGTAAATGTTAAAAGAGCCAAAAGCTAAAATGAGCATAATAATTACTGGGCTAAGAATAAACAACGCTAAAAATTAAAAAGGGTAAAAAAACACTAAATATATTACATAGTAGGTTAAAAAAATTACATATCAAAAGCTACAGTAGTCTAAAAACGTTCAAAATTGTCCTCAAGACTACGGTGGCCCATAAGGGACATAAAAACCCAGCTATTTATTTTGGGAAATTTGAATGGTAAAACTTATTATTTCAGGTTTGGGGTTTTATGTTAATTTTTTCCTTTGTTAAAGCCCAATTTTTTTTATTTTAAAACATTTTTTAAAACTCAGCCCGTTTTTTCAAAACTCACGGTTTTTTTTAACTCAGATTTTTTTCAAAACTCAGGGTTTTTTTTAAAAAAAACTCAGATGTTTTCAAAACTCTTTTTTTTTTAAACTCAGATTTTTCTTCCAACTTAGGCTTTGTTTTGAAAACCAAGTTTTTGATTGTCTTGAACAATGCGCATGTCATATATCTGCTGACCACGATTGCTGGCTCAAAGAAAATGAACAAAATGGCTTTGATGATCAAATGGTTTTATCTGTTTTATGCTTCATGTCCCATTGGAAAGTAATTATTAAGTCGGGTATTGCTTTTGGCGGAGTTTCTCTTTGGGTGAGCTCTATTAGTTGGGATACCAAATCATGACAATTCCGGTTTGGGATCAATTTGGCCACATAGTGGCCGTTTATTTCCTTTAAGCATATCCAGCTAGGAAAATCGGGATACTCAAGAAGATTATCCCAGCAAAGGTGAGGGCACACCCGCCATCCGGGAGATGAAAGTGGAGCAAAAGGGGAGGGAACTGAAGGGATGGAAAAATGTTTTCCAACTTTCTTGTTGTAGTGAGGAGAGAGGCTTTGTGCCTCGCTTTCATGTCTTATAAACATACACATGATGTTCAGGATGGCAGGAACGCCCCCTCGCTGGTAGCTGGAGAAATGACACATTGATCAGTCACATTAAGCATAAAACTATTTATTTCTTTCAGAAATAAATTTCATTTCTGTTTCATTTTATGCCCGTCACGTGGAACGAGCATAATGATTTCGTACTTCTTGTGACATCAGGGAATTCTGACCGTAATTCTTTGATTGAATGTTACTTCAATACTTCAAACCTGGAGTTCTAAGGAATCCTACGCTTCCTTCTTCTCGTACACGCAATACAACTCAGTATTCGTCAGTTGAAAAGGGTACTTTTTTCAAACGGGTTATGTAGGAGAAGAAATCATAGCCAGTCAAGAAATCATAGTTCCCATGTAAGGTGCCGTCCCTACCCAATCCCACAACCTGTCAAGAGAGGTTGGCCACACCACTGGGGTCTACGTCCCCTACTCTTTTCGAGCAGTGGCGTGTGTTCTTTTATGTTCCACATGAACTGATCAGTGCCGGAAAGTGCTGTGAGACCGGACCTGCGGTTTTTCGTCCTCATCCGAGAAGACTAGAAAGTCTAACCATTCGCAGATGTCATTACAAAGGCAGCACTTTCTTCTCATTTATTTAAAGATCCTGAGTGTTGGTCCGACCGGGGTTTGAACCCGCGACCTTCCGCTCCGCGGACCGGCGCTCTCTCAACTGAGCTTACCAGGCGGCGGTTAATTAATCAAGATTGAAGTAACATTCAATCAAAAAATTACGGTGACAATTCCCTGATGTCACAGGAATGTACGGAGGCATTATGCTCGTTCCACGTGAAAGACACAAAATGAAATGGAAAACAGATAAAACCATTGATCATCAACGCCAGTTTGTTCATTTTCTTTGAACCAGCAATCGGTATATGACCTGCGCATTGTTTAAACTGGATTTTGAAGAAAAAACTCAGTTTTTTTTTTAAAAAAACCTGAGTTCTGAAAAAAAACCCTGAGTTTTGAAAAAAAAACCAGAGTTTTGAAAAAATCTGAGTTTTTTAAAAAAATTAATGTCAAAAGGAAAAACTTGGGCTTTAACAAAGGAAAATATTGTAGGTATGAAAATAGAACCCCAAACCTAAAGTTTTACTATTCAAATTTCCCAAAATAAATAGCTGGGTTTTTATGTCCCTTATGAGCCACCGTACAAGACGGATGTAAAGGGGCAGATTGTTCCATAAATTAGGGGCAGCAGATGAAAAAGCACGATCCCCTCAAGTCTTTTTCAGTGAGTAAACTAGGATACTTTAAGATAAGACCGCTAGCGGAGATTATAGCGCGGCTTTTCTTTAATGGCAATCAAATCGATCAAGTAACCAGGCGCATGACCGTAGATAGCTTTAAAAGTAAAAAGAAGTATTTTAAAATCAATACGAAATTTGAAAGGAAGCCAATGTAACGAACATAGTACTGGTGTTATGTGACCGTAGCGAGGGACATTAGATATAAGCCGAGCAGCTGCATTCTGCAAGCGTTGCAGTTTAAGTAGATGAACAGAGGGTAAACCAAAGAGAAGGCTGTTGCAGTAATCTATAAGACCAATGATAAAAGCATGGACCAAAGTTCGTGCAGACTCCTGGGACAGATATTTTCGGATACGCCGAATATTGTATAAATGGAAAAACCCAGATTTACAAGTTTTGTGGATCTGTTCCTGGAGATTCAAGTTAGAATCGAACCATGTCCCTAAATTTCTTGCCACAGTGACAGGAGCAACATCAAATGCTTCCTTCGGTAAGGCAATCAATATTTACTTTGGAAAGTTGTTGTTTTGTACCAATCAACATGAGCTCAGTTTTGTCATCATTAAGTTTGAGCCTATCCGTAAGCATCCACGTACGGATGCCCGATATACAGCGTTCCATGGCAATGACCGCATCAGTCTGATTAGTAGCCGTGTCAGGACTAAATGACAGGTAAAGCTGAGTGTCATCAGCATAGGCATGTGCTTCAGGTAGATGGTATATTTGATGACTTCAAAGAGTTTGCTGAAATAAATGGTAAACAAAAATTGCCCCAGACACGATCCTTGTGGAACGCCATAAGGAAGCTTAAAACTGTCAGATGTAAAGCCATTTAGCGAGACTCGCTGCGACCTGTTGTTAAGATAGGACGTACACCAATTAAGGGCGGTGCCATTAATGCCGATACATGACTTAAGACGAGCAAGGAGGATATTGTGGTCAACAGTGTCAAACGCTGCGCTCAAATCTAGGAGAACTAGAAGAGTTACATGCTTGCAATTCATATTCACGAGAATGTCATTTTGTACACTGTTTTTGTGCTGTGACCCTTTTGGTAAGCGGATTGCGAGGTTGGATAAAGGGCGAATTGACTCATATGACCGTGAATTTGGTCGAAAACAGCGCGCTCAGTCACTTTTGATATAAAGTCCAAGTTACTGATAGGGCGGAGGTTATTCAACTGCGTCGCGTCTAAGCCAGGTTTCTTAAGGATCGGAGTAACCAGAATATAAAAAATATTTCGCCGTTTCTGATTGGCACAATGCCTTCTGCTAATTCTTCATAACCAACAGGAGTTGACCAAATTTGGAAGATGCGAGTAATATACCATCAATTCGATGGTACATTTTCTTGGAAATGAGATTGTTCGATGGTACATTTGTTTGGAAACGAGGTTGACCGATAGTATATTTTCCTGGAAACGATACTTTAGAGCGCCGGCCTTATTGTTTATTTTAAAAAAAATGGCGTCCACGGCGGGCTGTACGAAGAAGACACAACGTTTATCATCGCTGTTTGTGTTCTGTCTTTGATTAAGCTACCATGGTCTAAGAATAAAAGTCTTTTAAGCAAACTACCAAGCTTTTTGAGGCATCAGTCAAAAGCTTTTTTCGAGAGGGTGGTCTATATTACTAAGTCTGAGTTTATAATGAGGCTGTAAATTGATGAGAATAATTCTCGGAAAGTTATAAAATACTGACAAAATTCAGGCTTGTACGGGATTCGAACCCTTGACCAATGCGATTCTGGCGCTGCGATTTGTTACAAACCCGTGGAAGGATAAAGTTGAAATAATGAATATACAAACATCATATAATGGAACTACAGGAATCCTTTTTCAGGATTATAACGCACCAATTTAATAGCAGCTCCCGGTTGGCTTGTTAACTCAATTCTCGATTGGAAGAGCGCTGCACTGGTATCGCAGAGTCAAGGGTTGGGAATCCCGTACAATCCTAAAGCAGCCTATTTATCCCGCAGTTCTAGTATTTGATTTTCATATATCAATATTCTAGACTTGTTTCCAGAATAACATCTTCAGAAACTTGAAACTTACACGGATCAGCCGTTTTAATGACCCTTTTGACTTTCTATCGAAATGGCCGTGGTCCATATTTTTTCCCGAGGGAGGGAACGGGGGCTTGAGATTCAAGCAAACCGTTGAAGTAAGCTTTCTTCCCTAGCTTCTCGGAAATCTTACCAGCAATAACAGATCATAAAAATCAAACCTCTAATACAAACCCCCGTATATGCTGTAAGGTTTATTTGTAACCGTTCAATTACAATTTCATGTCATTAAACTTGAATAATGAAAAACGGTAATCTATATACATATTGCTGTGAGTCCATCATTGAATATATTCACTTTCATACTACGAATAGGAAAAGAGCCTTTTCTTCGATAGAAAAAGAGAGTGAATTAACACCTGGGTTGAATCTGAAAATTCAGTGTAATCAAGCTTCTAAAGCAACGGTGAATAAAACAGTTATTATGTACATGCTATTAACTGTCTTGTCTTTGAATCCGACATAAAAACAAATAAAAAGTAGGTCAGTCTGCAGTTTACTGTTCTTGCTCTGCAGCGTCTGGCGGGGCTTCCTCAGTGGGTTCATTTTGCCCTGATTCACCAGGCGTGTCCGCTGCAGTAGCTGCACGTTCGCTCCCAGCTTCCTCTCCAGCTATGCTACCATCCTCCAACTTGTCTGTTGTTTCTCGCCCACTTTCATCGACTTCGGGTTTCTGATCGGCGGCTTGTTCAGCGACTTGTTCTGCTTTCGCCTCTTCAGCAGCTTTGGCCGCAAGTTCGGCTTCAGCCTTCTTTCTTTCTTCTGCTACCTTAGCTGCTGCCTCTTGTTCCAAGGCACGTCTGGCAGCTTCCTCCAGCCTGTCGTAAACTTCAAATCGCTTCTTGACAACATCTCTTATTATTGCTAGGAGGCATAAAAGAAGTAAAAATCAGATGAGGAAAAAGAAAGAGAGCGCGAGCTGAGGGACACAGAATTAGACCCTTCGCGTTCCACCATCATGGCCTCGCTAAAAATCTGAAAAATCCCGAAATGTATGTCAAGTTGTCACTCAATTGTGCCCCGCCTTTTTTTTGACACGATTAACTTCTTTCTTTCCTGTCTTACCTGGATTAAGATTGAACACCTAAGCAGAACGTGCCCATTATCAAAAACGTTTTTCTTTCGTTACAGGAGAGATTTCGAAAATGATTTGATCAAAAAGTTAAACGCTAAAAGATTTTTAAAATACATTTAAAAAAGTGAACGACGTTTCGGCGCTACGTTACGCCATTATCAAGTTGAAAAGTGAAAAAGTATAAAGTGTAAAAGGTCGTAAAACGAATATATAAAAATTTGAAACAATACATAAAATATTTGCGGGTCCAATGGGTATAATTCCCAAGGTAAGAGGCACAATAAGAGAAAAAAAAAAAAAAGCGAAAAAAAGCTCTGCAGTGAATCAGCATTCCTAATTTCCAGTTGAGTTATGAGAATCAGTTACAACGAAGCAATACACGATCTATGCAATATTTCTTATTTTTTAAACCTGTTTACATATGTGAAGTCTAACCCATACTAAAGCGAATAACCTAAGCCAAGTTCTTTTTACCAAGGTAGCATGAAAACTGCCGGTAATGATTGCCTAGTATAAACAAAGTACCAGAACTTTAGCCTGAATTTCCGACGACTACTTCTAGTCATTTTTACTCCCTCAGCATGAGCGAGTAAAAACGACTCGAAGTAATCATCTAAAATTCAGGCTACCAGAACTTACCATCAAGAACAGTTCTTGAAACAATGGTTTGGTTTAATTCACCTTCCACTTTCTCCAGCAACCATGGCATAAAGTATGTTTCTACATCTGCAAGTCAAAGAAAATGCATCTTAGACAGATTTTCTTTTTAAAAAAGTCAAAGAAAAGAAGTGAGGAAGGCAGGCGAGTACATCTAGGTGACCGTTTTAGGACGCCGCCCCTACGTACAGTAATAATTTGTAAGAAAGTGGAGTCCTCTGATGAAGCCTTCTTAGTCTTATCCTATTTTTCTCAGCTAATCTGAAGTACTCTTGCAAGTTTTGAATCATTTTTTAATAGTTTATGAGAAGCTACTATTTTAAGTTAAGATTAACTTTGTAGTTCTAAGCACTGTTTACCTCTTTCTACAGGATCATAGAAGTATCCATTTTCATTTAATGAACCAAAAACAGAAGGCACAAGGTCAGCCAGATAACTCTGCAAGAATTACAAAAGGTTATTCAGTTGGAGTTCAATATACCAGAACAGCATAAATGGTTGGTCAAACTTGTTTGTTTGACTGAAATAGAGTAAGAAAGAAATTCAGCCGCCATTTTAACCCATTAACCCATGGGAATTTTGGTGGAAAACGGATTTTGAAGCTAGTCAAGGTGTTTTGTTGTCACTGTCCAGCTATCAAGAGCTACTACAAAAGGCCATTTGCGTTTTGTGTTGCTCGCAGCCTTCTGTTCCACATTCAAAATATCAGACTCTGACATTCAGGCATGCACAGAAAACAACATTTCCCCTTTTGCCTTCTCTCCTCTCTATATTCTTTCACTTTTCTAGCCCCAGTTTTTCTCTTTTTATTGGCATTTAATAGGCTTCATTTGGATGGGAAAAGTTTTGGGAAAGCTTTTAGGATCGTAGAATTAGATGAGTGTGGGTCGTGGGAGAAGATTTTCATAGGAATTTTCGGGTAAACTTTACATGGTTATTTTGTCTTTTTCTCTGGCCTCCTTGACTAAATCTTGCAGATTCACATATAGTTTAATCGATATCTTTTCCTCTGTACAAGTTAGATGACAAGTTGTCCTACATGGGTAGCCGGTTAAAACTGATGACCTCACAAGTGGTACACAAGGGACATGGATGCGCATGGACGGTAAAAGGGGGGATCTGCCTGGGTGAATGGGTTAATTACCTGGGCAAAGGCACGTGCTGATATCTTTTCCCCAGTTTCCTTTTCTTTCCTGAGTACTTCCGCTTGTTGTCTCATTCGTCGTTCCTTCTCTTCTCTATGTCTTCTTTCCTGTTCCTCTAATCTCTGAGTTTCGACAAGCTCAGCATTTCTTAGTTCCTTAAATTGTCTTTGCTGTGCTCGAAGATTTGCAAGTTCCTCCTCTTCCATTACCTCAAGTAGGGCTTGTTCAACTGTTTTACCAACCAGAACTTCGAGGATAGGTTTGACTTCAATGTCAAAGTCAAACAACTGAGGAGAGAGGGACAAAGAGGATGTGATATTATTACACTGAAATGACTGATGGTAAAAATAATACAAAACAACTGGTGAAATAACAACAGGCCCCAGTTGCTCGAACATCGAATACAGTGTAGCGTTATCCAACGGATAAATCACTATCCAGCAGATAACTATTAGAGGAAGTATTATCTACTGGATAGAGATTTATCCAGTGGATAATGTTATCCACCTTTCGAACAGCTGGGCCCAGGTAGTTTATACATCAAACCCAAGAAGAGGGTCAAAAAAATTCAGATCAATTTATTGTGACAAGAAAACAAGAGAAAGAAAGAGCAATTCAAAACTAATATGTTGTAACTGTAAATTAATTTAAAAAGAGAAGAATGATACATTTCATTTTTAAAGACAACTTCCACATATACCACTAATTCTTTATTATTGGTTTAGGGTCAAATGTTGACTATTAACACTGGTTTAAAAGATAGACTTTGCTGTGTGATCTGTCGACCCAATGTACAATGCATGGTAAAACTACAAATTTTGGGCAGGTCATTCCAATTTAAGAGAAAAATCCAAGATAAAAATCAGCCTAAACTCAGGCTAATTATTTTGTTTGCCTTGCATTTTCTTTTTTATTCATCTCAAATTGTTCTAATATGTTAACCAGCCTTAAGACTTAGTGTATACAGTGTAACCCAAGGGCTTACTTCTTGTTTGAAGACTCTGATTTTACTTCATAACTTACCTCTCCCTCCAAAATTTGTGTTGCAACATCTACTCCACTTTTAGCAGGAATAAATAAGGGAGAAGGAGGTCGATCCAAAAAGGCATCTGTTTGAGTCTCAACATCAGCTTCTTCAACACGATCACTTAACTCTTCCAAATAAAGTTCTGTTTGTACATCAATATGCTTTCTCCCTTCTACAGGTTCTGGTGACCTTGGTTTCAATTGTGCCTTGGCTCGTTTTCTGGCAATTGCTCTTCTTCTTGCCTCTTGCTGTCTCTGAATTTCTATAGGATCAGGTTGTGCAGTCTAACAAGAAAAAAATGTAAGTGTGAGATCTATCATGTTTGGAAAATATGATTCTACATAAAACTTGAAAGAGTCTGATTATGTGATTAATCCTGTCCCTCCTGGGCTGATGGTTTATGGTGAGATGACATTCACACTTTTGAATTTGTGGGTGTTACCATTCAAATGAAACCTCTTGAGGCGAACTTTTGCAAACTATTCTCTATTTCTTTGGTTTTACAAAAAGAAATCAGAGCTGCTGTTTTTTCTGTTTTTTTTTTTTTCCGTGTAAACCCTTCTTGCTATTTTACTGTTGATTGAAGGGACAGAAGTATTTTAGGCTGGTTTTTTTCTATTATCCAATGTGATGTCAAACTGAACTAGTCCTTTAGATCTGATTACCCTTAATAAGCAGGTTCTGATTAGGCCAACTTTTTTAGCTGTTTGAAAAAATCTTTATAAGAATAAAAGTTAAGGTAGTGTATAACAAATTGGAAGCACATTGTGTTCACCCTATCCACCCAAATTCCTTTTTCTTGTGAGGGGGGGGGGGGGGGGGGAAAAAAACAAAACCTTAAAAAACATATGAAAATTGGAAATAAAAAATTTTAAAAAGAAAAAAAACTTTTTTTTTTTTAATCCAAGTTCTTCAAAAAAAAAACCTTTTTTCTGAAAATTTTTTTTTGCCTGAAATGCCTTTTTTACAACACGAAAAGAAAAAAAAATTTTATTATATTATATATATATAATCTCTAAAAAAGGTTGTTGTAAGTAAGTTTATTTTTTTATTGTTAAAAAAAATATTTAAAAAAAAAAAAAAATAAGGTATAAAAAAAAATGATGGGCGGATGGTGGGCCCCCCCACCCCCAAAAATTTCTTTTTTGGGGGGGGGGGGGGGGGGGGGGGGCAGATAAGACCAAACCTGAAGAAGCATATGTAAATTGGAAATCAAGAATGTTAAAAAGATTAATAACTTCTGTTTTTGTAATCCAAGTGCTTGCAAACAAAAACCGTTGTGCTGCAACTTCATTTTGGCCTGACATGCACTTGTTCAACACTGAACAGACAAACAACATTTTCATTTGATCTGCAACACTTACTGCTGGTAGAGTTCTCTGTGCATAGGTATTACCCCTAACAATTCTGCGATCGTACATGATGTTTCCATATGGCATGGGACTCTCATTTCTGTAGAAACAAGAAATGAAGCTTCAAGCCTTGACTGATACTAATACATGGATAAACTATGGCAGCCTCAACATAGGTACAACCCTTTGTCAAATGCTTTACTGAGTACTCATTAAAATATTGTCAATAATGTCGTCTTTCTAAGGCCAAATTAACTAAACATACTATACTTTTATAAATCAACTGCAAAGTTTAGGAATCATAAAGTAATAACAAAATCCATCAATCAACGTTTATCCCTTACTGACCAATATGCATGGCCACTTGACACAATATAGAGGTTGCAGCTCCAAAGCTATCCTGTTTATAAATAACCTACTGAACAGGTACAGCTTATCTTAGGCAAAATCATTAGAGGCAGCTGTGTCATCATTTGATAAGAGTGATCTCCGAAATGTACAAAGAGGCAAATAATGAGCTGCCGTTCTCAAATAAAATGATAAACCCTCAAAATTTATAATACTGAACTTAGCTTAGTTTAGTAAACAACTGACGAATGAAGCTAATAAAAAGTTAATACAACCGTCGCTACAGCACTTACTCTTGTGTTAACGGATCTCTAAATTTTTTTCTCTGTTGAACTGGTCGGGGTTGGCTGGCAAAGGTATACGTTCTTCCGCCGTCTCCTTTTTGGGCGACAACGGCTGCCATTTTAGGATCTGTTTCACTCTCAACCTACTATTCGATTTTTGGAATTAACTTGAGGTAGAGCGCAAATCGACAAAGGCTTAAGAAGTGCTGAGTTCTCAGTTGTGAAATCTCCTTCAAAACAACATGGCGTTGCCAATGAATCTGTTTGGAGGGAACCCTACGTCATTGTTACCATGGAAATAACAAAGGGGAGAAAGCTCTTATTAACGGACGATTTGATTGGTTGGTTTTCAAATTCCAATGAGCCAATCAAAAGATAGTTTAGAAATGGAAACGCGAATTTCAAGATGGCGGATTCAACGAGGTCTTATGGCAATGAACTTGATCATCCAGAAGTTCTTTCCAGAGAGAGACTAATAGAAATTTTATGCGAGAGATCTATTCTTCTTCAAGATCTTGTTGACTTAGAAAAAGGCGATCTTGTCCAGCTCTTTTATAGATATGTCACACCTTTACCTCAGAGACTTCATCAGCTCCGTAGGGCAAAACGAGTGGCACCATCTGGCAAGGAACGCGTCACATCACAGGGCAGAAAGTCTAAAATAATACGGTTGACGAAACGGTAAGAGTTCTTTTAATAATGAAACTGGAGAAAAATGGCGATATCATCAGTTCACCATCACGGCTTTATGTTGTCGACGGCCACAGTGAATGCCTATAAAAAGCAGAAAAGTTTGAGTTGTTTGACAAAGCTTGCGTAGGTCACATACATCAATTTCCAGTCGTTTCACCAGAAAGTCGACAGCAGTTCACCAGACTGACTTCAATTTGCCTGATGTCATTAACATGTTGCAATCAATCGTATTTGCGTAGAAACCTTTAGAATTTCAAATTTCTGTACTTACCAGCCTTATAAGGTGAACAAAGGAAAAAAATTATTGTACAGTCGAAGCTCTCCTTGCGACAATTCTCATGAGCAAGCAGCCGTAGTTTCATCCAGTGTTGTGAAACCCCATTTGAACTGACTTAAGCTCTGTAATGAAAAGCTCTCATAACGAAGCAGTGTGCAAGGAGAGTAGTGTCCAATAGCCCAGGGCTAGAGGATTTTGCTATCGGGCTAGTGAATTCTGTTTTTCACTTACCCGACGGGCAAGTGATGTTTTTTGAGGAATTCAAATAACAGAAGAACTGTGAAATCAATTCTGCTAGTCAAAAAGTTCTTGGGGCTAGTTGAAATGACGTCTGGGCTAGTAAATGCCAGCTTCAGCTCGCCTGAATGGCAAGTCAGTTCAGTCAACTCGAGTTGATTAGAGACAACTAAAACAACTTGCCAACTTTTGTAAGATTTAGGAACAACTTGACTACAGGGTTTTGTTTATCATTAGTTTCATGACAGTCACTTAGATATTGTTTGTGTCATTTAGACCGAATTGTTAGTTTTTGGTGATTGGCAGCGCATCATGAACATCCCTCATATTAGGTTCAGTACGTTGTATCCTAGATAAAGCAAGGAAACCTGATAGGTTTCATCCATTGCACTGTTACAGCAAGAGGTGAAGATGTTCGAACTCTCTTCCTGATTCTTTTAGGGGAACCACTAGTCTGAAGAAATATAGGCGTTTACTTTTTTCCCATAGCTAGTTTCATAAATTAGGCGCCTACTATTACTGCCAGTTTGTGTTTTTATGTTAATATGTTTTTTAAGTGTGATGTATGTGTAATCAAGTTAATGAAGTTAAATAAAGTCATGTATGTATGTATGTAGAGGCAGGTTGCAGTAACAGTAACAGCTGATGAAGTCAACTGATCAGCTGAGTTATAGTATGGGCACAGAAAACACGTGAGTAAAGGACTAAGTCAGATAAACACAAGATTCGGTCAGCATAATCTGCATGTCATCATCATGCATAGTCCAACTAAGACCAAAGAGAAACATTCAATCAGTATGGGAACTTAAGTATATTGAGTAAATCTTCAAAAGTTGGCAAGTTGTTTTAGTTGTATTGAATCAACCTCAAGTGGATCAAACTGATGTGAGATATGTATCAAATTGACTTCAGTTTGTACTGAAACGACTTGTTACTATCAAAACGACCAGTCACCTCCATAAGCAACAGCAGTCACTGTGAATCACTGTGAGTTTATTGTGAGGCTTTAAATCTTTTCCACTAGATCTACCATTATTTTTATGAACAGCACTTGGGTCTTCTGTTTTCCAGAGCTACAAAATGGAAGAATTCAGCTCTGTTTATGAGAACAGCACTCATTAAAAATTAACATCTGCAAGATTTCTGTACCACCCCATACATCTACTTTGCGTCTCAGCATTTCACTGACAGTTGAATCTCCTATGTGGCCACCTATTAAGCTGCCACCCTCTACTGAGGACTTGTAATGCCGCTCCTGTCATGTGTTTGTTTCAAAATAAAGTGCTGTTTCTTCTAGTAAGTAAGAGGCCACTTAGCGGTGCCCTGGGGCCAGGTGGTTGTTTAATAGCCCATTTTACAGTTACATTGTACAGGTGGAAATGAAGCTGGAGTAGAGCTTGTTTTGATACAACCCTTCCTGCTTTATTATGTAAATCATGTTGTTTTTATGCTAAATAGCATTTTCAGAGCATAATTTCCATAAGAAAAGGAAGGAGGTTTGTATCAAAACAAGCTCAACCTTGACCTCACATTCACCCAAAGGCTATATAGCTAGGATTCTAAGTCCACAACTTTAAAATGGTCTATCAAGTTTTGACTGTATTTCACACAAAAACTTGATATGAATAGGGTTGAATCATGTACATTGTATGCATAATAATAAATGTATGGGACTGAGTGGGAATCTTCCACGTTATTTGCATTTTCTGTATAAGTTAATATGAGGTTTTGTAAAACAGTGAGTGTCCCTGTAAGTGATGTTTTTGTAAGTTCCATTTTGACTGCTTTTAATCTCTTTTAGAAAATCTGAAGAAACTATGGATGGCACTGTCAGCAAGATAGCAAGAACAGAATGTAACATAATCAAAATTAACAAAAGGCCTGCAACTTCACTTGAGTCAATTAGCAAAGAAATAAATTCAGTTTCTATTAATTCTACATCTCCTACAAAGGACTCTGCACCTGGGCACAGAAACAGTTTATTAAACAATGCTTCTAAACCAAAAGTGGTTAAGTTGAACAGGAAAACATTGGGACTTAACTTGAATAAATCGCTTGAGCCAGCTATAGCAAAGGTGGCTATTAATTCAACTTTAAATGGTGGAGCACAAAAGGTAATATACCTGATCTTTAAGTGTTGTCCTTATTAAATTATTGTTCACACTTGTAAAAATAATATTTGAATTTAATATGAATATATAGCCAGGGGTAGAAAAAGGCCTATCTGGTCATCTGAGATGAGCAGATTTATTTTTCTTGCTGGGCAAGTAGCTTTTTTAGCTCATTTGTCCTCTGGCAATGGGCAAGGGTCTAGGCAAGTCATCTTCTAACTACTGTAAATCATTTGTTATGTTTAAAGACAAGGAAGCAATTGCATGCCCTGAGGTGAGCAAATGTGGGAGCTGCTTGTCCAAAGGACAAGCTGGACCTTAATTCATTTTGTTTTTTCATGGTAGAAATATTTTTTTTAGGTTTGAGAACAATGATAATGTATTTACTACCCAGCAATAAGTGAAAAGTAAACCATAAAAATTTTATGGTTTCCTTTTCACTTGTATTGCAGCTATGTCTATTTTACACTACCATGCTGTGTGCACATTTTCTAACCTGCATATCTTACAGTTGAGAATGGTGATATGCTCTTAACAAAGTGTGTTTTGTTTTATTACTTATTTAAGGTATATCTTTAAAATAGCTGTCTAATATCCTGTAAAGGCAGGCAAGTAATGAAAAAAAAATGCAGCCATTTTAGTGACTAGTTTATTTTGTCCAATAAAAACAGTAAAATAGTATTAGATGAAACACACAAACCTGCCTCTCTTCCTGTAAGTCATTCCACATCATTTACATAATAAAACTTTTAAGATGTAACAAACTTGTTGCTGGAATATTGAATTCTGATGACGATGGGTGTAACGTTGAAACATGTCTGAAAAGTATAGATATTTGTAAAAATCATACACCTTTTGTTAACTTTCTGTTTTTTTTCTTTTTTTTTTTGTGTTGTATTATAAATTTATCACAAGAGGAGCACCCAATAAAGCTGTGAAAAAAAAAGAAAAAAAAAAAAAAAGTTAACAAAAGGTGTACGATTTTTACAAATATCCTTCACTTTTACTGCTACTCATGATTTCAACTTTCTTTTTATAGGAAATAACAGCCCCCTCAAAAACAAGTGAGTCTGGTCCTGATAAGGAAAGTCAGCTGATTAGCCCAACAAAGAAGAAATTTGAAAAAGTAGCTGTAACATGGCCATAAATAAGAAAAGAAAATTATACACTGCAGTAGTTGACAAGCGATCACTGCCTTCTCACAACACGTGAGCCGATTTTGTATCTATTTAACAGGCTCTACAATGTTGTTGTGAGTTGTCATGAATAGTTTGAACTTGTTAAAACCCTCAACATTACACAACATTCCCAACCTCAATAAAATAATGTCGTGACCTTTACATCTTGATTGTGCTGCAAGCTGAATAAGACAGGTGGTCAAATACATGCGTTTGTGACTGTACTGTACTTTGCTGAGGTAACAGAATAAGCTTACAGGGGTTTCAATAAAAATTGAAGTAGCCAGCAGGTTTGAATAGCGTATCAACAAGGGGCAGTTGGTCCCCTTTTTCTTGGGGGGAGAAAGAGGGTCTGGGCGCATTATTTCTGCCCCTGAACATTTTGAAATTTCAAAGCCCTAAAATGGGAGTTTCAGCTTTCTGGGGACTAAATTTGAGGACAAAAGAGCATGTTTTTCATTCAAGAAAATGTAGCTTTCAATTTATCAGTCACAAAATCAATTCCTACAAGCAATGAACAAATGATGTAAACTAAATTACATACTTTTGCACGTAAACAAATTCTGCGTAAACCTATAAAGAAACTTATGAAAAAATGACTGAAATATAGCTTTCACATCACCAAAGTATAATGTAAAACCAGTGGGCCTTTATGAAAACATATCATCGATACGTTATTATTCATATTTTATGAAATATTTTTTGTAAACAACGTTATTCAAACTAGTTGCTTCTTCTTCTAGAAAAAAGTTAGCCAACTTCTATAAGCAAAGTAGCTGACGCGTTTCGTTGGCCGTCGGTGCTTATTGAAACCCCTGAGCTCAACACCAGTTAATGTGGTACTACCCAGTTTGCTTCTGACTCAGAAGCAATTGGGCTCAGTTCCTGAAGGCTGATTAGCACTATAATCCAGGATGAAATGTTAATCTACAATATTGTATTTCCCCTCTGATTTTTTGAGAAGTTTTGTGTTATCATAACTTAGTCTTGTAGTATTAAAAGCCTCAACAAGATTTTAAGCTCAAGATAAATCTTCCTGGACAAGAACACTTTGTTCAAAATTTGGCGTTAAAATTACCATTTTCAAGGAACAAGGCCCTAGTGATTGACATCTTAGTCATTTCACCTTTTTACTTAAAATGTACAGCCCACAAATAGCTGGTATATTTTATTTTTCTCAACTAATGTGTGTAATATTGTGATTGACTGTAGGAACAGTCATAAGGAAATCTGAGGTGGAATGTGGTCATACTTTATTTCCACTTGTTGATTGCCTTATGTTACAGATGAGGCAACCTGATCATTATCAGCATCATAATAGGAACAATGGTAGCAATGCAACTATAACACTGTTGAAAGTCACAACATTGTTTAAAAATAATAAGGTACCAGGAGGTGGAGAAAGGAAAAAGGATGGGAGTATCAAGGGTATTTTAGGTAGCCGGGTAAGCTATATGAGAGGGGGGATTACTTTTTTTTAAAGAATTAGGGGGTCATTTTTTAGGTTCTGCTAGATGTCTTATAAATAAACATTCATTTGTTTTTGTATAGAAGGGGAAACTTCTTTGAAAAGATTAGAATGGTGTGAAGGATTGGAGAGACATAACCTATGCTACGGAAAAAAATCACTTCCAGCTTAATTAAGTAATGAACCTGGCTATTTGACATGGATAAAAACCAATACCCCTATATCTCAACACATCCTGCTATAGTGAACGAATCTGGATGGAATACATTTCAACCTCACTGATTTTTTTTTCTTTTAACATAAAAATCAAGTTCCTTTAAGAAATGGTACAATCAAAATTGACGCTTCAAACATCCCCTTCCCAAGAATACCCAGGGCATTTGACACTTCTACCTCTGGGTGGAGAATTTGATAATCTTAGTCTTCCTTGGTCGGTGAGGAATTTAAGCCATAGTTTTGATTTCTCTTGCTATGTCTCAGTGCTTGCATGAGGTGTGAAAGATCATTGTGGAGACCGACATAACTTGTGAGTCTGGATTATTTTAAAGTAACCTGAGATCAGGCCCAATTTTGGTAACCTGAGATCAGGCTCAATTTTCGTTTCGCTTTGAAAATAACATTCCGGTGGGCAAGGCGAAACGAAAATAGAGCCTGATACAAACCTGCTACAACGTTACNATTTGACACTTCTACCTCTGGGTGGAGAATTTGATAATCTTAGTCTTCCTTGGTCGGTGAGGAATTTAAGCCATAGTTTTGATTTCTCTTGCTATGTCTCAGTGCTTGCATGAGGTGTGAAAGATCATTGTGGAGACCGACATAACTTGTGAGTCTGGATTATTTTAAAGTAACCTGAGATCAGGCCCAATTTTGGTAACCTGAGATCAGGCTCAATTTTCGTTTCGCTTTGAAAATAACATTCCGGTGGGCAAGGCGAAACGAAAATAGAGCCTGATACAAACCTGCTACAACGTTACGGCCAAAATCTGGCCGTAACGAGCACAAACGTGAGAGAGTTTGTATTAGGCCCAATTTTAGCGGTGGCCGTTAGAGAGATTGTATGAGAACCGCTAAAATTAGGCCTGATCTCAGGCTATAATTTTAGCGGTTCTCATACATTCTCTCTAACAGCCACCGCTCAAACTGGGCCTCTCTTTTCGTTTCGCCTTGCCCGCCGGAATGCTATTTACAAAGCGAAACGAAAATTGAGCCTGATCTCAGGTTAATTTTAAAGAATGAGGGCCCTGGAAAAAAATTATATAACTAGCTTAATTTACAGTAACTAAAATACATTACAAGTTAAAAAATACATTAATATTTTAGAAAATCATTTAAAATACAACAATTCTTAAAAGCTAAACTGATAATAACGTAGCAAGTAACTAAAAATCTTTTGATCTGTATAATTCCAAAATACGAGTCTTAAAAATCAACTGACTTAAAATCCTTCATTTCTCTTGGAATATTATTAAAAAGTTTTGATCCATAAAAGACTTTCCTTGCAGTCTCAGTTCTGACTTTGTGGAGCAGCAAGTTCTGCCCTCTTCCCCTCGTGTTGTCGATTGTTCTAAAAACCTTAAAATAATCTCTTTAAAAACATGGGAGGGGATCGCTTTAAGCATTGAAAAGTTAAATTAATAGTATGCATGTCACGCCTCATAGACAAGGGACGCTACTTTTAAATTCTTCTCGACGTCTGAATCTGTGGTCTTCAAAACAATCTTTGTCGCTCTTCTCTGTGCTCGATTTAACTTATCACGTTCTTTTTTCCCAATCAACTGTTCCATGCAACATCGCAATAATCCATAACCGGCAAAATAAGACACTGATAAACTTTAGTGGCTGCATCGACAGTTAGATTGTTTCTAATTATCCCAAGGAAGCTCAAGGACACCGAATCTTTTGGAAATCTTGACCAGTAGCTTATCCATGTGTTGTTTGAAATTGAGATTTGCATCTATTAGCACACCAAAGTATCTGTAATGTTGTGCTTGATTTATCGGCTTATCCCCGAGGAATAAGCTAAATGGCTCATCTGACAAGGTAGCCAAAGGGATTCGTTGTTGAGTGCCGAAAAGAACGTATTCGGTCTTCACAGGACGAGTACACAGCCCAGGATACTGATTTAGGTCTTTATTCAAAACAGTACTTATGCCTTCGACATTGGAGTCAGATTGGAAAAGGACAGCATCGTCCGCATTAAAGTAGGATCTTCAGGAGTAAACAGTTGGGCAAGCCATTTGTATTTATTTGAAAACAACATGGGACCAAGTATGGACCCTTGTGGGACGCCAGATTTTATCTGCTGAGGTGCAGACTGTGTACTGCCATAGACAACAGGCCCCGGTTGTTCAAACGGATGGATAGTGCTATCCACCGGATAAATCACTATC